TTTATCACACTACACTTTCTTTTCTCTCTGCCCCCCCATACCATTGTGTCCTTCTGGAAACTCTCAGTGTATCCCAGATGGCAACATGCACACAGAGGGTGCTTGTGTTGGTCCAGGCCCTCTGAGAAGACAGGGACAGATGCATAAGAGATTTATTGAGGGAAAATGGGGAAAGAGCTGAGGAGGACTGGGAGAACATTTGGACTGCGATGCTATCTGTGTAGGAGAAAGGGAAGGAAGATTTTGCGGGAAGAGTCTCAGACTATACCCCAGTAACTAGGAAGTTTTGTAATGCCAGTGGGGAGCATTGGAGCCAGTTGGGCCACTGATGGGCCTTGCCTCTTGCAGGAAAGGACCTGCCCTCTATGCCTGCTGTGCTCAGTGCTTGGTGGGGAGCAGCCTGAGGGAAAGTAGTCCTCTCAGCAAAACTCTGCTGCATTCAGAGTATAGCAGCTGGGGTTGTCTTTAATTAAACTCCTCAAGGCTCCCTGGTGCCTGAAAATGTTAGTCTGTCTTACTCTTCATCCAAACATCTGCATGATTATAGAGAGATGCTGAGTTTATGACTTGTAACAATTTTATTAATAGCAGTAATAGTAGTATTTACCATTTAGCCATAAAAAGCTCTTTCATGTACCAGGCGCTGCACTAAATAATTTACTTGCATCCTATCATTTAATCATTAAAACAATCCTATGAATTAGCTATGATCATTAGCCCATTTTAGAGATGGGGGTTGTTGTATAATGAACTGTGTTCCCCCCATATTCACATGTTGAAGTCCTAACCCCCAGTGCCTCAGAATATGACTGTATTTGGAGATAGGTTCTTTAAAGAAGTAATTGAAAGACATGGAGAGAGAGACTAGGAAGAGACTGACTCTTAACTACAGAGAACAAATTGATGGTTGCCAGAGGGTAGGAGGGTAGGGGGATGGGTGAAATAGGTGATGGGGATTAAAGAGTACACTTACGATGGATGAGCACTGGGTGATGTATAGAGTTGTTGAATCACTATATTATACACCTGAAACTAATATAACACCATATGTTAACTATAGTGGAATTAAAATTAAAAGTTAAATAAAGAAAATAAAGGAATGCTGAGATTTAAACGAAAAAATAAAAGAATGTAGAAATTAATCAAATAAACAAATGAAAGAGATAATTAAATTAAAATGTGGTCTTCAGGGTGGGTCCTAATCCAAATGACTGGTGTTATTATAAAAAGAGGAAATCTGGGGCGCCTGGGTGGCTCAGTGGGTTAAGCCGCTGCCTTCGGCTCAGGTCATGATCTCGGAGTCCTGGGATCGAGCCCCGCATCGGGCTCTCTGCTCAGCAGGGAGCCTGCTTCCTCCTCTCTCTCTGCCTGCCTCTCTGCCTGCTTGTGATCTCTCTATCAAATAAATAAATAAAAAAAAAAAAAAAAGAGGAAATCTGGACACAGAGATATGCAGAGGGAAGGTAATGTAAAGGCAGCCATCTTTTAAAAAATTTTTCTTTATTTAAATTCAATTAATTAACATATAGTATATTATTATTTTCAGAGGTAGAGTTCAGTGGTTCATCTGCTTTATATAACACCCAGTGCTTATTACATCACATGCCCTCCTTAGTGGCCATCATCCTGTTACCCCATCTCCGTACTGCCCTCCCCTCCAGCAACCCTCAGTTTATTTCCTATAGTTAAGAGTCTTTCATGGTTTTGGCCATTTACAGGTCAAAGAGAGAGGCCTCAGAAAGAACCCATCTTGCCAACAGCTTGATCTTGGACTCCTGGCCTCCTGAACTGTCAAAAAGTAAAGTTCCATTGTTTGAGCCACTCAGTGTGTGGTACTTCATTATGGCAGCCCTGGCAAGCTAATACCAGCATATTGTGGCTTCAGGTGGTCGAGTGGCTTGGCAAAAGTCATAGAGCTAGCACACAGGAAAAATAGCACTCAGCTTCTCACATTCCAGAGTCCATTCTCTTAAATATTTTTCTCTACTGGGTTGTCCATGGCGGCTGGGGCAAGGGCAAGAATGCAGATGACAAGGTGATGGGAAGCTCACAGAGATAGAACACAGCCTGGTGAGCCAGGAAACACATGTGAGAGGGAATTGGCCGACCTGATAACCAGGAGAAAGCCTTCCCACCTTGCCTATATCCTCTTCTGGCTCTGTGGTATGGCCAATCCACTCTTGCTTTCTGTACTACAGTTATATTTGTGCCAAATGGAAATATTAGGTTTCCTATATCTCACTGAGCTGTTTTAACCATAATAAGGTTATTATATGAAATGAGGAGCAAGAACTGAATTTGCTTTATACCAATATTAGTGTAGTTGTTGCATATTATCCCTGTTTTAGCTAATACTACTGGTACCATTGTAATGTGGTGTCAACATTAGAGCAACAGTTTTCCATGGGATACAAATTATATATGTTCTGATGCCAGAAATTCATGGAGATCACCAGGACCACTCATTATAAATAGTCCTGTGATTCAAATGATTCTTGGACATCAATTTAATGACAATACATGGCATCAATGCTCAGTCTAACAGAATGAACTCATTAAATGATTGTGGGGATTAATGTAATAAAAGTAGCTGATATACATTGAGTTTTCATGTGTGTTAGGTTCTGTTCTAAGTGGTCTAAATATAATAATCCACTTATGATAATCCTGGGAAGAACCCCATGAAGAAGAAACTACTTTTATGATTCCTAGGTTACAGATGAAGAAACAGAAGCCCAGAGAGGTTAACTAGGCCAAAGTCACACAGCTAAGTAAGTGGAAGAGTAAACATTCAAACTAAGTCACACTGACTGCTAGTTTGGGTTTAGAGTGGAGAAGAAATCAAGCATCCAGGATGACTTCAAGATTTTTACCTGAGCAGCCAGAGGAGCAAAATTATCATTACTTGGGATGGGAAAGATCTTAGAAATTATTTTTTTTAAGGGAAACTCAATTTGGATATGTTAAATTTGAGATGCTGATTGTTTGTCCAAGGAGATGTCAAATAAGTCTCTTTATGAAAATTGGGATCTGTATCTAAAGCCCACAGATGGAATAAGATCACTTACAGAGTGTAGATAGAAAAGAAAAGAGATCTGTGAGCTGAATCTTGGGCATCCCAGTGTTTACAGATCGGGGAAGTAGGGAATCGGTTTAAAAGACAAAACAGAAAGAGTGGTAAGAGAATTAAGAGGAAGAGCACATGAGTGTGGTTTCTTGAGAGAAAATGAAGATACGGTGATCAGTTGTGTTAAGTGCTGATAGGCTGATTACTTGAGGACCTAAAATGACCATTGGATTGAGCCAAAGGTTCAACAGAAGGCATTGATGACCTTAAGAAGAGCAATTTTGGTGGACAGGCTCGGGGATACCTGGTTGGAATGGGTCCAAGAGAGAGTGGGTGGTGGGGAATTGAAGAAAGAGTCTTCCACTTTTTCTAAAAAAAGAAGATGAAAATGGGGGTAGCTGGAGGAGAACGATGTGGGAGAAAAAAGAACATATTTGTTGATAATAGGAATGATCTAGCAGAGAGGCAAGAATAATTGATGAATTATGGGAGTGGGAATTTCTGGAATAATATCCTTGAGTAGGTGAGAGGAGGTGAAATCTGGTGCCCAGGGAGAGAGGTTGGTTTTGGGTAGCAGCATGGACAATTACCAAAGAAAATGTAGAATGCATCAGCATAAATGCAGCTGGGTAGCTAGGTACATTGAGAAGTTGCTGAAGTTCTCTTCTGGTTATTTCAGTGTGCTCATCCATTTATTAAGCTCCCATTCTGAGCTCAGTTAAAATTGAAAGCTCCTTCCCTGGCTTTATCATTGCTCTCACTTTGAATTCAACAAAACCTGAATAATCCAGTAATTATGGCTCCTTGACTTTCTTCCTCACCAGCTAAGACCTGAAGGAGGGCAGAGAACATGTCACATACTTTATTGTTCCCCAACACTTGGCATAGTGCCTGACATACAACATGCACTCAATAAATATTTGATGAATTGAATTGAATCTAGTATATTTATTTCTTTATACATATACTTTAAATCTGATTTTGCTTGAGTCTTAAAAACTACCAAGATCATAGTCTCTGTGGATTGGTGGGCAGATTTTTTGTATCTCAATCCATTCTGCTAATCATTGTATTAGCTATTTATTATTGAATTCAATATTTATGAAAACTTAAAAGCTTTGCTCATTTTTACAAAAGTTTGGACCTTGGTTGGGCCATAGCAACATCCTCAGAAGGGTTATAATATGTGAGAAGATGCAAATAGCTCCTTTGATAATTGACAGTGTTCAGTTTGCCCAATTCCCTTTTATTTTTTAAATAAAAGGGTGAATTCCCTGTAATTGACATACCATAATCTGAACCGGTAGAAGTCAGTGAGAAATCCTAGAAAGAACCACCTAGAAAGAAAGGATGTACAACCAACTGGCTATGTGCTGTGGTAGAAAATGTGCCTCCCTACCTCTACCTAACATTTTATTAAGATTTAGATAAAGAGGAAAAAAAGAATCTGCGATTGGATTGATTTCCTACTGTTCATCTTTTTAGCAAGCTTTAGGTGACACTAAAATCAAGAAGTGTAATAGTTAGCTAGGTCATACAATGTGAACGAAGTCTGTCAATACTTTTCCAGCAGGAAATTCAGTGAAGTGTATTGTTGAGGACACAGACTTGGACTTGGATTTGCATCCCACCTCATAAAAGACCTAGTTTCCTGACCTGTATAATAGAAAGAGAACACAATCGATGTTATGGAGTAGTTGTGAGCTTTAAATGACCTAATGCCTATAAAAGTGCAATACAACCCCCAGAAGATCAGTAATGTTAGTCACTATTATTTATTTTCATGACAATAACAACTTTCAAAAAGGCAGGCTGCAACCTACTTTGGGTTTCCCTTTTTCTTCTTTGGTTAACCTTTACTCTTTGCCTAGTATACTTCCTTTTTTTCTCTAATCCTGGCCTTTCTTCTCTGACCATTTTTCTTCCACTATAGAAAAATCGATGGGACCAACGAGGAAGAAGATAACACTGAGTTGAATGAAGAAGGAAGGCCAGTGCAGACTTCCAGGCAGACGCCCCCACTCTGCAACTGCTACTGCTGTGGCCTCCCCAAGCGTTACATCATTGCCATCATGAGCGGGCTGGGATTCTGCATTTCCTTTGGGATTCGGTGCAATCTAGGAGTAGCCATTGTGGAAATGGTCAACAACAGCACTGTCTATGTCGACGGAAAACCAGAAATTCAGGTCAGTGTCTGTGTTTGGTGGGGGCTGTGCAAATACTTGGCTATAGGAAAGAAAGCACTGCCCCTCTTCCATTGAAGTGACAAAAAGGTAGAATGGCTACCATGTGCCAGGCACTGTGCAAGGTGGAGGAAAGAGAATGATGAGCAGCACGGGCTGGGCCCTTATCACCATAGAGATGTACAAGTAAGTCAGCATAATTCACAGTGGTAGTGCTATGTTGGAGGTGTTCAGAATGCTTGGGGTCACATCAGAGGATGCTGTGCCAGACTTGGATATCATGAAAGAATTCCCATAGAAAGTGATGGCTGGTTCTGAAAGATAAGGAGGAACTGACAGACAAAAGGTGTTTCCTTGAGGTGGGAAGAAGAGCGCTTGAAGAGAAAGGAACATCTTGTGGTAAAGACTGTAGGAGAGAAGGGGAGGGAGGCAGAGAGGAGGAAAGAGAGAGAGAGAAGGAGGGAGAGAGGGGGGAGAGAGAGAAAATGATGTTATTTAGGAACTGAGATAGGAGTTCATCTTTTCTGAGCCATGGACCCATTTGACAATCTGCTGTAGACTTATGAATCCTTTGTCAAAATAATGTTTTAAATTCTTTCAATAAAATGCATGGGATTATAAATGAAACTAATTATATTGAAATACATATATCAAATTATTGAAAAATAAGGTTGATATAGAAACATATGGGCTTCTTTATGAACCCATCAGATGACAAAATTTAACAATGGGTCTAAAATTACTGTACCTTTGGTGTGCCTGGGTGGCTCAGTCAGTTACTTATCTGCCTTCCGCTCAGGTCATGATCCCAGGGTCCTGGGATCTAGTCCTACATCACGGTCCTTGCACAGCGGGGAGCCTGCTTTTCCGTTTGCTTGCCACTTCCCCCTGCTTGTGCTCTCTGCCTCCCCCAACAAATAAATAAATAAAATCTTTTAAAAAGTGAAATATAATTACTATAAGTTTGAAGTTTGCAGTATAAACCATAGTTTAAGATAGTGGTGACAACTGTCATATGAACAGATTCATAATTTCCACTAGTGATGGAGTCACAGGTACTGATACTACTACTGTGGTTTTTTGCCTACATTCATAATCACAGGAAATGCTAAATTTCAGCTACCAGTTAGTGAAAATAAAAATGCCGAATTTTCCCACCAAAGTTCACAGGTCTGCAACCTTCTATCTTTGGATTAAACGCTGAGAACCCCTGTAGGAGAGTAGAGCATGGCAAGCATCAAGACAGGGGGACACCAGTGTAAATAGGGGTTAGGCCAGGTAACGACTGGTAAGCCATGTAGGGAGTCATGGGTGGGCTTTGTGCAGGGCCCACTGTATCCAACCAGGGGTCTCCCAGTGGACTGGGATTGGAGTGAGTAGAAGCAGGAAGCCCAGTTCAAAGGCAGTTGTAGTCACAAGCAAGCATACTCTGATGTGACTTAAGAGCATTGAGGAGGGTGCACGAATGCAACTAACGAATCATTGAATATTACATCAAAAACCAATGATATACTATATGTTGGCTAATTAAATTTATATTAGAAAAAAGCACTGTTTTTATGAATCACTGGAAAGATGAAATCTGGCTTGCTTCTTACATAGTAGACCTAGAGAAGTATTGAGGCAATGGGGAAAACCCCCCTAAAATGTATGCCCAGTGCATGCATGTCTCATTGTATTGAACATACGCCCGGGAATGACTTGTGTGGAGGTACACCAGTTCGCAGAGAGGCACCTAGGTCTCTGGTCCCTGAGTATATGTGGAGAAACACTGACATCAGAGTTTCCCCACTGCTGTTTGGTCACTGTCTATAGCCTGTGCCAGGAAGAAGGTGTCATATGAAATGGGAGCTTTTATTATACTGTGTCCTATGTGAGTCTCCAAGAGGGGGCTGTGGTGTGCATTATTTCCTGGACTTTATTGTCGAACACCCTCTTTCATGCCACAGCTATTAGCATTACCTGGAACAGTTCCTGCTAAGCGCTGGTTTGGGAAAGTTTGATTCTTATCCACTAAAAAGAAGTCGTTAGTTGGCCCTGCAGGCTTTTTTTTTTTTTCTTTTAGCTAAGCGATTTTTCTGCCAGATGAAAAGAGAACAATGGAGAGCCTGCTAGCCTCTTTCTGATGCTGCAGCTGAATTTGTTCTCAAAGGATATGCTAGTTGTTTATTTTTTTGGTTTGGAGGGAGGGCAGGAGAGGTATGATGCGGCAAGCCATGCATTTTTTAAATAAAGAGTGATGTATATTAGTGAGATTTCAGATGTGTATCACATGCATTCTCCCAGCCTTTTGTGAGCAGGGCCAGCTAATTAAAACTTGTCTGCTGAGGCCCAGATCAAAATGAGATGCTGATTTGTGTTTGTTTGTTGCCTGGAAAGATAGGCCTAGGTCAACAGAGTCTGCTTGGAGGCATATGGAAAAGAAATTTTTGATAAATCTAAGGAACAATACTAGTGTGTGCTCTCTGGTTTCTGTAGTTTTCCCTTTGGAGTCTTAGAGAAACTGATTGAGATCTAAAATATGCTTTGCATAATTTCTTCTGGTCTCAAAAATAGGAGTTGGGGAGCATTTCGGAAGCTCTAGGACAACTCCCAATTTATAGCAGGCCATTTCTCTCTGACTCAAATAGAACAAAGCTTACATGTCAGCTGAACCTGATGACAAAGATTTTACTGGTATTGTTGTTTATTTGGTTTTTCATTTTATGGGAATGGGGAACTACATATTTTTCACTGAGATATTTTGAAGTCCTCATTTTCAAAAGAGGAGAGAAGTAAGCAGTATGAGTATGTAGGTCTTGCAAATATTTAGGTTATACTGTACTAGTGGTATACAGGGTAATTTTAGCTGATGTGTGAATACTCACTTTTAGTTTAATAATTATGAATTTTAAAACACGTGAATCACTTAGAATAGCATCTGACATATGGCAAGCAATAAATGACTGATGTTTGAGAAACTTCGTGATTATCTCTTTTTACCTTCAGGAAAAGTCCAAACTCCTTCCCATGAATCATGAGTCCTGTAGAGTTAAGAGCATGGGCTTTCGAATTGGCCAGACCTGGTTTCACACTTGACTTCTTTTGTTTATTAACTCTGGGACCTTGAACAAGTTGTCCTTATGTCCTGGTCAGGGATTGCTGGTTGCAAGGAATAGAAATGCAGTGAAACCAGGTCAAGTTAAAAAGGGAATTATGCGGGACACCTGGGTGGCTCAGTCGGTCAAGCCACTGCCTTGGGCTCAGGTCATGATCCCAGGGTCCTAGGATCAAGTCCCACATCGGGTTCCTACCTTGGCAGGGAGCCCACTTATCTCTCTGCCTCTGCCTGCCGCTCTGCCTGCTTGTGTGCTCATGCACTCTCTCTCTCTCTCTGACAAACAAACAAATAAATAAATAAAATCTTAAAAAAAAAGAAATTATTAAAAAAAGAAAAAAGGAATTATGTTAGGGCTGTATGGGATCTCATGAGAGTGAAGGGCAGAAAGCAGGTCTGATGTGTGTATTTGTGCAGTCCGTGCCCTGGACAGTGGGAAGCCCAGCCTGTGGCAGGACTGAAATCCTGGCTGTACTCCATGAGGGGCAGAAAATGAGTCTTTACCTAATTCTTTCCAGGGCATAAACAGAGGCTCTGCCAGGAAGGGCAGAGTGGAGCTGGCCCTCCTGGGAATGAGGAAATCCTTAGCTAAGGTCTCCAGCTTGCTTGTTCCATACAGTGCCTCATCTGCTTCTCTCTGAGTATGTCCACTGTCCTAGGTCTCTCCATGGACTCTTTTCTTTCCTTTTCCATCACTTCACATGTCCGTCCTCCATAGTGAAGTGTCTTGCTCAGGAACTGACTTACTTGGCCTTGAAACTAAAACTAAACTCAAAGTTTCAGTTCAGGTGTTCAGTCTTGTCTAAGTACAATTTCTGGGTTCAGATTGGGGAGAAAGACACACATACATGGGGCCATTATGATTCTAATGGGGCTCAAGTGATGAAAATCCGTTCTCAGCAGGCCCAAGTGCTGTTTGACATGTATGATCTCCTTCAGAGAATACCTGGAAACACAGTCCCTCAGAGAGGAAAGTATGAGCAGGAGACATTTTGATTGGTAATTAGCCTTTGGAAGAAGTGAATCCCTCTGCCTTGGATCTTTGGCTCCTTGGCTCATTCTGTGATTCAAGGCAAAGATGTCTAATCTCTCTTTCTTAGTAAGAAAGTCAAGTTATACAAACAGTGCAAAGAATGTAGTTTTTTGGGTCAAGCCAAAAAGAGATCGTGATCTTGGCTCTCCTTGTAACTAGTTGTATGACTTTGGGCAAGTCAGTTAGTCTCTTCAAGCCTTATTTTCCTCATCTACAAAAGAAGAGCCAAGAATTACCTCTAGGTGTTGTAAGAATTAAGGGAGGGAATACATGGACAGTGCCTTAATAAAATTATGTCCCTCTTTTGCTCCAAGCTTCTAATGGTTTCCATCTCTCTTTGATTAAAAGCCAAGGTCCTTTTGGTGATTTCAAGGGCCTCTCATCATTTGAACCTCTCTTACTTTAACTCTTATTCTTGTGTCCTTCACTCATTACCACCCAGGTATCCTGACATCTTGCTGTTCCTCTAACCTCAGGGCCATTGCACTTGTTATTTTTCTGCCTTGAAAGTTCTCTCAGATAATTATTTGCTCCTTTCTTTCCTTTAGAGCTTTACTCAAAAATCACCTCCTCAATGAAGCCTTCCTTCTCTATCTAAAATTGTGCTCTACCTCACTCCTATCCTGCACTTCCTGTCCCCCTCCCTGCCTTATTTTTTCTCCTCATCCCTGATCACCATCTAACACAGGCTGTACTTGTTTATTTGTTAACTAGCTACTGTTCCTACTGGCATCTTTGTGAAAATAGCAATTACTCTTGTTCTGTTCACTGTTGTATCCCCAGGGCCTAGTACAATGTGTGGCAAATAGTAGCAGAGAGTAAAAATTTGGTGAGCTGATTTGAATAATGATTGTTAGTTTCATTTTACTCTCTCTCATTTTCTTTTTCTTTTTCTTTTCTTTTTTTTTTTTTGAGTAATATCTACCTAACATGGGACTTGAACTTATGACCCTGAGATCAAGTGTCACATGCTCTACCAACTGATCAGGCAGGCACCCCAGTTTCATTTTATTTATTTATTTATTTTTAGATTTTATTTATTTACTTGACACAGGGAGAGAGAGAGCACAGGCAGGGGAAGCAAGTTCCCTGCTGAGCAGCGAGCCTGATGCAGGGCTCTATCCCAGAACACTGTGATCACACCCTGAGCCAGAGGCAGATGCTCAGCCAAATGAGCCAGCCAGGAACCCCAGTTTCATTTTACACTTAAACTTCAATTTCCTAATTGGTAAAATGGGAAATATGGTATAGAGGAGGCCAGTGTTACATGGACTGTGATCTCCTAGAACATGAAGGCAATTCTTGTTTGAGTTAGTATTTGCACTGTCTAGCACCTGACCTGGCACACAGGAGGCACTAGGTGAATGTTGAATAAATGAGCAAATAAATACGTAACAACTTGTGATGGGAAAATAAACCAACAGAAGTTGATAAGGCGTAATATGTTGATAATTAAGAACCTTTCCTCCATAACAGGAACACCTTCCATTTTGATATGATTGCTTTTTAAAAAAGATTTTATTTTTAATGGACTATGTCATATAGACTTATTTTTAATGGACTATGTTAATATAGTCCAGTACCATACAGGTTTTATCATGTGAGTAGTAGGGGCTTGCCTCTAGATTGCAAGATGTCTTTAATGCCCTTGAAATTCTGTAGTAGATATTTGAGCAATAAGTATTCAAGACAGACCAAGCCTCCTCAAGGAGCAGTTGAATTCTCTGGTACTAAAGGTGTTCAAGCAGAATCTCTACACCCAATGTGGGGCTCGAGCTTACAACCCTGAGATCAAGAGGAGCAGTTCTAGGGACTGAGCCAGCCAGGTGCCCCCAATCCTTTACAAAGCCATTCATGTATTCCTTCATTTGGCAAATATTTACTTGCACCTTCTATGTTCCAGAAATTTATTTTAGGTACTCAGGTTATAAAGCCAAAGGGACATGGCTGTTCCCTTAGAGTTGCTAGCCACCAGTGTGAGAAATGGACATGTGAATGGCTAGTTCGAGAACAGCACCCAGCATGGGCCATGGCTGTAAGGACAGAGGTCTGTGGGACAAGTGCAGGAAAAGGTGATCACTTCAAAAGGGAGCTGGGGAGCTTCCTCAGAGGAAGGAACATTTGCAAAGAGTCTGAAAAGAATGAGTAACTTTCGGAAGAAAGGGAGGAAAGGGGGCCTAGCCCTGGAGAATCACATTTTCAATGGCTTAAGGGTTGTGTCATTATTAAGTGTGTGTGTATATATATATATATATATGGATCTACTACATACATATATATGTATTTAAGTTTGTACATAATCTCTCCTTGCTCTCACTAGAAGACAAGCTCAATGATAGCAGGGACTTTGTTGTATTTGTTGCTATATCCCAAGCATACAACAGCCCTCCACAAATATTTTTTTTAAAGATTTTGTTTATTTATTTGACAGAGAGAGAGAGAGAGAGATCAAAAGTAGGCAGAGAGGCAAGCAGAGAGAGAGAGGGAGAAGCAGGATTCCCACTGAGCAGAGAGCCTGATGCAGGGCTTGATCCCAGGACCCTGAGACCGTGACCGGGGCTAAAGGCAGAGGCTTAACCTACTGAGCCACTCAGGTGCCCCCACAAATATTTGTTGAATAAAGGAAGGAAAGAAGGACCTGGTGGGTTGTTATGTAGGATCATTGGTGAAAAATGGTTGTCAAGGGTTTTCTTACAAACACAACCATATCTAATTTCTCATTTCAGACAGCACAATTTAACTGGGATCCAGAGACAGTGGGCCTTATCCATGGATCTTTCTTCTGGGGTTATATTGTGACACAAATTCCAGGTGGTTTCATTTCAAATAAGTTTGCTGCTAACAGGTAAGGCAAACTGAAATAACACAAATGAGGTACACATCATAACATGATTTTGTGTTTTTATAAAATCTGCATAGTTTGCTCTCAATTTAGAGATGCAGAAGGAAAGACAGGAGCCATTCCAATAGATGTGATTCACAGATATTGATGTGATTCTGTTCTTAAGTGTCTCTTGTTATTTACTTTTTTGTCTAACTTAATTTATCTTGCAACTCTTTTAGTGATTATGTAGTAAAAAGAGCAGTTGAATCTGAATCAGAAGAAATGTTCCTGGATACTAAATAACTCAACTTGGTGACCTCTAGAGTCACTTTTTTTTTTTTTTCTTTTCTGGGTCTTTTTCCTCATCTGTGAAATAAAGTATGGTTTTGATTGTGTTTGAGTTTCCTTTGACAAGTGACATTCTGTGATCCTATATACTATATTAAAATAGTTCAGTACCATATAGATTTTGTCATATGAGTAGTAGGGGCTTGCCTCTAGGTTGCAAGATGTCTTTAATAACCTTGAACTTCAATCCTAGGTGTTTGAGCAATTAAAACTACCCAAGACAGAATGAGCTGCCTCAAGGAGCAGTAGAGTTCTCTGTCACTACAGGCATTCAAGCCAAAGAAGATGGCCTCTTGGAGGATACATAGGGTGTATATGTAGCTGCACAGGGGTTTACTAAATGTCTCAAGTTTCCTTCCAATTGTATGTTCTGTGTCACAGTACATGTATGGATTTCATGAACCATATGTTTTATAAAACAGTTTCTCAAACTTTAAAACATAACTCATTAGATGGTAATGAAATCAACATGTGATTTACCAATGAACATTTTCTAAAAAAGGACAGAAAAATAGAAAAGAGGAAAACCAAATAGAATAAAATAGAATAGAAAATATCTTAATTCATTGCACACTTAAGTATCGGTTCTTGAAATTTGTTTTGGTTACATTTGTGAGTATGATTATGTTTTGAGTTGCAATATAAAATATATTTTGTTTTATGGGTTAAGGTAAAAAAAGAAAGTCAATACCATAAGATCTAAATATGTACAAGCATGACTTTATTTACTTACATTCTGGTCTAATTTGTGTCCTTCATTTATTATCACTTATCTATTGTATTCTTTTCAAAAAGCGATAAAATACTGGCTCATATGATCTCAGGGGTGACTGCTTATACTTCTGCCATAAAAGGAAATCACGCATATTTCTAACATGTTAAAAGGGCTGAAGCATCATTAATGTGTGAGAAAAGAAGAAAATGCTGCTTGCTCTCTTTTCCCAGGATACTCTGGCCCAGGCAGGGAGAAGGCATGGGGGACTGGGCAGCAGGCTGGGGGCTCAGACAGGTACATAGCTTGTTTTGTGCTTGGCTTGTCCCAGGATACAGACTGCTTTCTGACAGTATGGCCTTTTGGTAAAGTGACAATAAAATTGTGAAGCAGGAGACACAATCCAAATGTGTCAATGTCATGTGGTAATAGAACGAGTCAGTTTGGTAGAAGCAAGCAGAATCATGCATCTCCAGCAAGCTCACCTCATGTTGGTCAGTCTCCAGCTTTAGGACCTCATTTAGGAAGGATATTCCCATATTGGCAACAACCTGCCTGTAATGGGTCCAGGGATGAGCTCAGGATTCATAGCTGCCCAACAGTCTAGCTTGGGATATACCAGATCCTAACACAATATCTATTTCTCTTTTTATTAATTTCCATGGTGATTTTCCATGAATGGTGAGGTTCATTCCTGATGTCTGACTGAAGCACCATATCCATAAGTGTGCCTGCCCCCTAACACAGTGTTTTGGTCCCTCAGGGTCTTTGGAGCCGCCATCTTCTTAACATCAACCTTGAACATGTTCATCCCTTCAGCGGCCAGAGTGCATTATGGCTGTGTCATGTGTGTCAGAATCTTGCAAGGTCTAGTGGAGGTAGGAGATTCTTTCCTTAATGGTTTTTGCTACTGCTAGTTAAAGTATGGTCCTTTAGATAATTCAGCTTCTAAAGAAAACTGCTTTACTGAGTTTTCTGGTCTTCTACCTTGTCCTGCTATTTCCACTCTTCAGTTTTAACTACTGTCACAAATGCTTTAATTAGAATGCCTGTGTGATTACAAACGTATACACAATAAAGGACCGTTTCATAGAGTGCAGAATTTCACATGAGGAGACAGGAATGATCTTAGAGGCAATCTAACCCAACCCCTGTCATTTAATGAATGATGAAACTGAAGCCCAAATATGATAGTTCACATAGCAGTGGCCCTTTCCACTAAAACAATTTAAATGGATTTATTAATAAATCTGTAAATTTCCAGGATGTAGTATTACACAGAGATTTAACTCAGGGACCTGTTGAATCATTATATTGTACACCTAACCCAATATAACACTGTATATTAACTACACTGGAATTTAAAAAATTAATAAGAAAATAAAAATGTGAGTCTAGAAAAAAAATGTAAAAGCCAGTACTTCCTCAAGAGTAGTACAAAAACAGATGGTGAGCTAAATCAGGCAATAGTTTCCTGAGCCCTGATGTAGAGCAGCGTTTCCCAAGCTCAGTCATTCACCTCTAAACTCCTTTGCTTCTGTTGTATTCATGTACAATTTGTACTATTATTTACCTACAGTTTTTCCCTAGATCAATTCATTAAAACACACACACACATACAAGAATCTTATCACAAGCAACAATATCTTTGAAATCATGGGTTTCATGCATCAGTTACATTGTTTCTTAAAGCCTATTAGAATATATATGCACCAGTAATGGGAAAAAAATGTCATTTGTTGTAGCAACTCAAATCCATCTCTAGTTCCACTAGAGGGACATATACCAGACTTTGGAAAATAACTGATGGGTGGAAAGAACTTGCTATTAACAGCCATGAAGACTAGAATGTAGTCACTTCATGGCTCTTGGCCTCAGGTTCTGTATCTTGAGGGGATGGACCAGCTGATTGCAGAAATCTCTTTCTACACCAATATTCTATAATAATATGAAATATAAAGACTCCTTCCCCATTCCCCACCATCCTTGCATTGGAACTGATATTCAAATTGAAGCATCTGTGCTGTGAGTTAAAATAGCTGACACAAGCTACTTGGTATTCATGGTTTAGGTTTTATCTTGTAGCCTCTCTTAAAGAAGCAGGGTCTATGTTTCAAACACAAACAGAAACTGGAGTCAAATCAATAATCTATTTTCAACTTTTTGCCAGGGTGTGACCTACCCAGCCTGCCATGGGATGTGGAGTAAGTGGGCACCACCTTTGGAGAGAAGCCGACTGGCTACAACCTCTTTTTGTGGTAAGTGTATTAGAATCTTAAGTTTTACTTAGGAATGCTTTGTCTTTAAGTGAAGACCCTACTATGTAGGATTTTTTTTTTTTTTTTTTTTGCATAACAGAAGTCCAAATGTGAGTGATTGCTGGTGCTGGTTTCACTGCTCAGTCATCCATCAGGGCTTGACCATGCTCTGATTTTCTATTCTGCTGTCCTCGAAGTGATAGCTCTTTACTCTCCCACTTGTTCCTCTGGTTCACAAGAGGGTTGTTACAGCTCCAGGCATCAAGCCCACATTCCAGGCAGGAAGAAGTGGAAATGGTTGTCCTAGCCACATCTGTTCAGCAAAGCATATGCTTTCCAGAAGCCCCTTATGAGGCTTCCACATATTTCCTTGGCCCTAATTGTGTCAGATTCTTTAGCAACTGCAGAAGCAGCTAAGAAACCAAGTGCTGTCCTCGCCAGCACCATAAGTAGAGAAAGGTCAAAAAGAAGGGGTTGAAAGTGGTTGTTGAATTAGCCAACAAATGATATTTGCTGAGGTCAAAAGCAGAAAAGAGAGAATCATTAAGCCTTTTGCTCCTCTTCTTTTTACAGAAAGAGAAGTTGAAACTAAAGTTGGAAGTTTTGTTTTATTGAATGGAAGTCAAGGTCCAAGGTCACACTGGACATGGAACAGGAGCTAGACTACCTGATTCTTTTTTATTTTTAAAAATTTCTTTGTCTATTAGAGAGAGCAGGGGCAGAGGGAGAGGGAGACTCCCTGCTGAGCAGGGAGCCCCATGCGGGGCTCGATCTCAGGATCCTGGGATCATGACCTGAGCCGAAGGCGAACACTTTACCTACTGAGCCTCCCAGGCACCACTAAACCACCTGTTTCTTAATTCAGAACTTTCCTCACTACACACTACTATGTACATACTGTCATAGAGATCTTTTAATTAATTTTAACCTTTACATTCCAGATGAAAATGGAGGCCATCCATCTTACCTGAAAGCATATTAGTGGTCCTTAAGTAATGAAGTGACTGTAAATTACTGGGTCACCAAACTTCACCTTGTTAATGTTGTCTTATTCCAAGTCATGTTTCTGGGACTGGCCCTCTATGGAACAATCAGTGTTTGAAGGGTCTCCTGGATACCAATCAATAACTTAACAAGGACAGTGGATGCTGACACCATCAGCACAGTTGTTAAACGTATTTTCCAATATTTTTTTTTTATGGGGAAGGGGTTCAGGAAGATAAAAGTGCCTCAGGCCATGAAAGTCACAATGGGGATTGGGTAAAATTAGTATCAGAATTTAGCTCTGCCTAGTTGTTCAAGCTAGTGTGTCTTGACTAGGAAAAACCAACCTGTATTTCTTAGGGAAAGGAAGAAATAAAGCTTCTTAATTTCTGTGAATATTTTCATTTATTTCTCCCTTGCTCTTTCTCTTTACCTCCTTGAATAATAATTATTCTTGTTATTATAATATAGATTATTATTATTATGTAGAATCCCTGGGACTTTGTTGTGAAGTATTCACCAATGTGCCCAAATTATGCCTAGCTTGGAACTGCATGCACTGTTGAGATGTCTTTGCATCTTTAGCCTCTCTTGTCCTTAGAAACCATTTCTGTCCTCTTGTTTGTAGTTAAGATCATCTCCATTTCTACTACTGACCTGTGCCAACTCTAGAAGAATATAAGATTCTGACCTTATGAATTGTCAAGTCCTTGATCTTATTTTCTTTGGATGGTTTATTTATAAGGCTTTTTATTTTGATTCGCCAGCAAAGCAAGAATGACTAGCTGCCACACCCCATTCTTAGCATCTTTATAACCCTTCAAGGGCTGGTTTAAGAAATGTTTGACTCTCAAGGAAGGTTACCTGATCAAAGTCATAAGCTTTATTACTTTTCCCAGCTAAGGTGTGGTCTTGGTTTGAAAGAACAGCCAAGTGTCATTAGAAGGAAACCCAAATTTGGGGTTAATCCATTCTTACACAAAAAATATTGGAGTTGGCAGGTATTTTAGGAAATATCTAGTCGAGTTTTCACAGCTAGTGAGGACAGAAGTGGGGATCTGCCCACTCCTAATGGCTAATCCCTCACCCCCACGCCATTCAACAATCATTGGAGGGCTCCTCTGTCCTCCACTGTCTGCCAACAGAGGGATCAAGGTGCTGTGAGCTCCCCCAGGGCTGTCTGGATGGCACGCCCCATTGAGGTATGCTCAGGGGCTGTGAGTGTGACAGATTATAGTCAGCCATGTCTCGAAGGATGAGGAAGAGTTTTCTATTAGACAGAGAAGGACAATTTCAAGTGTAAAATTTCCCCTATGAGAGAATGCTTCCTACTATGAAGAATTAATGGGAGTTTTGGAGTGGAGGAGGTAGGACCAAATTATTAAGTAGTTACAGATAAAGGCTCTGGATTCCTACAGACTTAGTTCCTGTCACCCACACCTGTGTGACCTCAGGAAATTTATCTGCCCTTCCCCCACCTTGGTTTCCCCTATAAATGAGGATGATATTGGTACCAACACCAAGAGTTTGAAAGAAGGGTTAAGTAGAATCATGGCTTTGGAATCCTCAACATAGTAGTGGACACACAAAAAGCACCCAATGCCTCTTAGGTGGTGGAGTTATCCCTGGACCCTCATTGTCCTGGGCATTTCCCTACCCCTTACTTCTAGCAACTTTGGTCCAGGGAAGACCACCTTCTCCACACCCACAGCAGAGTCAGGCCTGCAGATCTTTCTAAGCAATGTGCCTTGGAATACTTGTCTTACTGGTTTGTGGAAGTCTGAGCCAAAAAAAAAAAAAAAAAAAAATGCATTGTCATTCTGTATATCACAGTCACTTGATAGTTGGGGTTTGTGTGGCACGGATTACAGCTTACAAAACATCTTCACACACATAGTTTATTTAATTCTCAAACATCTCTGTGAGATAGAGATGTCTTTCCCATCTTCTACCCGAGAATAATGATTCTGAGAGACTGAGAGACTCCCTCAGGTGTCATGATGTCCGGATTTAGGATTCCAGGTTGGGCCTTTCATGGCCAGTCAGGCCCAGCTTGGAAAGATGGGATTTCATCTCTTTCTGTGGAAGATCCCCAAACTCCCATTTCCTGAAGGTCTCCTAGGCTTTGAAACAGAATTTCCTGTTGCTACTCAATTTCTGAGCAAGAATTTTTTTCATTCACATCCCAGAGGGAATTTGAGGGAGTAATTTTTTTGATTCAGTTAATACTGATCGGGAGTTTTTAGGGCTCATGTCTCTATAGCAGATTATCATGGATCTGTAGGGGATGGTGGAGCCTTTGGGATCTTGTCTAGACAAGATAAATAACCACATATATGAAAGTATTTATAAGGTTAATTGTTTTTACAAAGAAATAGACTTTAAAATGGGCCCATTCCAGAGGTAGGTGGAGAGAGCAGCCTTCCTGTTCATTCTGCCATCCTGGATTAGAATTGTTTCCTGATTTTTAAAAAGAAATCAAGACTCTAAAAAGTATGATTTTTTACTAGTTTGAAGTCCTCATTTAAAGACAGTGGTGATAATTCTCCTCAACTGTGAGCTCTGGAAGGCAGGTTCATTTGTTCCTTTGTTTGCTATCTTCACCCCTAATATTGTACCTGGTTGAATTTTTCAAGTTTCTCTTAGATTTTTTCCCCATCTTTTTGTCCTATTTTTTCATGTGATTCGAAATTGCTGTTGCTGAATAATCTTTGTCTTGTCCTTCCATGGTACTGGAGAAAGTTAAAGGGCATCCAGTGACCTTTCTCTCCCAGAAGCCCTATTTTAAGTCACATGGAGAGTTTGGCCCTCTGCACGGAGGCATTCTGGCTCTTGCTCAGGTGGATTCATCTTCCTTTCCACAAAAGGAACTCTAGATGGGCTAAAGGGACCCACATAGCAGTTGTCAAGTGTCCTCCGTGTTTTCTTGTTCTAGGTTCCTATGCAGGGGCAGTGATTGCCATGCCTCTGGCTGGGGTGTTGGTTCAGTACATTGGATGGGCCTCTGTCTTTTATATTTATGGTGAGTAATTTGACTTCATGAGTTCCCATGGATGACTCATAGAGATGGTATTTTACTATATCATGGGGTTGGCTAAGAATTTACTATAGGAAGATAGAGATGATTAAAACAAGCTTATCATATAAATGGGATACTTGTCTGCTTAGGATTCTTTTCATGCTTATATCAAAGTTGGGTTTATTAATGAGAACAATATCATCTTTCTTTAAATACCAGTTAACAACAACAATGGGCAGCAGCGACAGCAGCATCAGCAGTAGGGAAAGCAACAACATACTTTCTTCTAGATGAACATCATGCTAACTGGGGATATTATGACAATTGGGATATTTAGAGATGGAGGACAATGAAACCACATGATTAAACATTTTGTTTTTTACTGCAGGCATGTTTGGGATTATTTGGTACACATTTTGGCTATTGCAGGCCTATGAGTGTCCAGCTGCTCACCCAACCATATCCAGTGAGGAGAGGACCTACATAGAGACAAGTATAGGAGAAGGAGCCAACGTGGTTAGCCTCAGTGTAAGTACAGAGGGAAAGATGAAGACTGGTCTCTTTTCTACTTCTCTTAGTGATTGTGTTGTCCTCTTAAAAAAATAATATGTCAATATAACCACTAAAAATCTCATGGTGTTTTTACTCTCTAGAAATTTAACACCCCATGGAAAAGATTTTTCACATCATTGCCTGTTTATGCAATCATTGTGGCAAATTTTTGCAGAAGCTGGACTTTTTATTTGCTGTTAATAAGTCAGCCTGCTTACTTCGAAGAGGTCTTTGGATTTGCAATAAGTAAGGTAAACACAGAGATGCTTCAAATGTTCTTGAACTTTAAATCCCTTGCTCCGACTGAGAAAACCTTTGCATGACAAAATAATTAAATTACTGATCAGCATTCATAACAGTTCTATGACACCTAATACCCTAGAGGTCAGACAAGTTCTACGTTTTGGGCACGGTATATATAGCTATTAATTTCTTCTTCATAAGGATCAGAGCTATATTAAACTGCTTTTAAAGACTTATGTTCTATTCGATTTCAAAGTGGTTTCGAAGCTAAATTCAAGAACTGCATATTAGGTAAGGATAAAAAGATTTGAAGGTAAGATGTTTTTGTGGGTTTTTTCCCCCAAGTTACTCAATGAGTAGCAGACTACTCCTCTCTCTGTAATGGCAGTTATAGCAATAACAACCATTGCCTTGTATGGTTTACAAAGAACCTCTTTCAGTGTCCCCAGTCACTGTCATTAGGTTGTCTGTGTTTCAGGAAGGAAGGGTAGATGGTAAAACATAAACCATCATCATGAAAGACGCAACCTCCTTTGTACAAGGAGGAGAACAGTAGCCTAGGAGAGGTCGTTGTGTGTGTAGCTCCAGGTACTGTCTGAACTGACCTTGGAGGAGCTAGCATAGTCAAGTCATAGTGGCTCCCATCAGTGAGCACTCACTCCGCCACAAGTGTTTGACTAGCATGTGGGGGCACTATGGGAGGTTCTGGGGCCTCTGTGATGAATACAAGTCTTGTCTGTCCTCAAAGAGCTTCCGGTCGGGTTGGAGACACAGGTCTGTACTTAAAATCATTCACTCATTCATTATTTATTACAAAATTCAGGCCCATCTCGGTTAATTAATTAGATAATTAATTAGATAATTTAATTAGATAATTAAACTCGGTCGGGGCAGGAGTGGAGGGGACCCAGAGAATTGGGGAAGTGCAACTCTCCATAGCAGCTAAAAATAGCTCATTTCTTCTTTTTATTCCAGGTGGGTCTCCTGTCAGCAGTTCCCCACATGGTTATGACGATCATTGTGCCTATTGGAGGACAACTGGCTGATTATTTGAGAAGCAGGAAAATTTTGACCACAACGGCTGTCAGAAAAATCATGAACTGTGGAGGTACTTTGGACTTCATAGGTGGCTTCAGCAGCCTTTACAGAATGAGATGAAACTGAGCTGCAGAGCATATCCTGGAAGTTATATCTACCCATTAGAAAGGATCTTGGGGCACCTGGGGTGGCTCATTTGGTTGGGAAGCCAACTCTTGATTTCAGCTCAGCTCATGATCTCAGGGTTGTGAGATCAAGCCCTGTGTTGGGATCCATGTCAGTGGAGAGTCTGGTTCTCTCCCTCTCTCTCTCAAATAAATAAATCTTAAAAAAAAAAAAAAGAAAAAGAAAAGAAAGAAAGAAAGAAAGAAAGGAAGGAACAAAGGATTTTAAAGTCTCCTAAGTTCATTATTCTGCAGATACTTGAGTGCCTATCATGTTCCTGCCAACTGGTCCTCCAGCCCGTGCTTGTGCAGCCTGAGATAGGACAACTTAGCTGGTAAATCAGTACACACTTCCAACTGTAGAAATGCTTCTTTCGTCTACTCTTAAGCCAAAGTGAACTGATTTCCTGTGACATACCTTTATCATTTGTCCTTCCCATACATCCTCCCAAACACATAATCCTTTGCTTATGTAGTTTATTCCCTTATCTCCCTTTCTACACATATAGCTTTTGGTAAGAAACACAAGAAAAATATTTTATCCGAATAGTCTTCGTTCCTCTCATCTTATGCTTGTGTATGCGGTACACACACACACACACACACACACACACACACACACCCATCCTCTTTTCTGTATTTATTTCCTGCTTTATGTTTTGATTTGGCAAAGACAAGGAAGCAGGGTGATTTTCCAAAAGAGGTAGGTAAAAGTAATCATGAACCCCTGCCATGTTTATGACTGCTTACCTTTTTTAAACCTTCCACTTTTTCCTTATCTCTTTTTGTTTTTGTGTTTTAAATTAGCATTTATTGGATGCTTTCTGTGTGAGACACTAAATGACATCTTTTATACACATTATCTTATTTAATCCTTATAACCATGCTGTGGTTTACAGTGAGGAAACTGGAGTAAAGAAGAGTGACTTGCTCAAGTGACAGATGTTGTGCAAGATCCCAGGTCTGTCTGAGCTCATTGCCAATGTCCCAGTCACTGCTGCTACTCCTCCTAGGGACTGGTGGGGGTTAGGGTGGACAGGCAGGAAGTAGAGAACAGCGCCATCTATGGGTTAAAAGTTACAAGAGCTACTACATTGGAATGGAGGGAACAGGTGGACAGTCACTTTAGATTAAATGGGTCAGGGCTGTTTAGAAATGAAGAGTACATAGAGATTGCACAAGGGCAGACATAATCTGGTCCCACAGTATTTCAGGTATAAAGTCTGACCAGGGAATTTGGGAATAATGTTTTGGCATCAGGTGTCCATTGACGTGAACTTTTTTACAGAAGACTGAAGGTTGGCAGGTGTGGACCTGCTCTCCAGCAGGTGAGAGGTAAAGCTCTGGGGCACTGCATTTATGGTAGCTGAGGTAAACAGATTGATCCCCCCCACCCCAAAATGTTCACGTTCTAATTCCCAGAATGTGTGCTTATGTTTCCCTACATGACAAAAGGAACTTTGCAGATGTGATCAAATTAAGGATCTTGAGATGGGGAGATAATCTTGGATTATCTTGGTGGACCCAATTTAATCACAAGGTTCTTTCTAAGAGGAGGCAAAAGGGTCAGAGTCAGAGAAGGAGATATGATGGTAGAGGCAAACATCAGAGATACAGCCAAAAGCCAAGGAATGCAGACAGTCTCTAGAGCTGGAAAAAGCAAGAATGGAGTTTCCTTAGAGGCTCCAGAAGGAACACAGCTCTGCTAGCCTCCTGATGCTAGCTCTCTAGGGCCCATTTTGGTCTTCTGACCTCCAGTGCTGTTCAGTAGTAAATTTGTATTGTTTTAAGCCACTAAATTTGTGATAGTTTGTTACTGCAGCAATCAGAAACTAATATAGAAGCCAAATTTTTCTCCTCTGGTTATCATGTTCTGCCCCAGCTGAAAATCTCCCTCCACACCAGGCCTTGGATATCTCTTTCCATCTCTGACTCTGGTCATTCCCTTGCTCTTTACTGTGAGCTCTGCACACCTTCACCTCTCACCTAGTCCTCACCACATTTCCTTCCACATGGGTTCATCTTCCGTCTTGTGAAGTTGACATCAACCTTCAGTGACTGCTCCTTCCAATGCATACTTGGGTGGTAACTCATCATGTGAGCTACCATATTATAGCTCTTGCAGGAAAGTGTTTCAGGCAGAAGGAACAGCATGAACAATGGCCCCAAGGCAGGCATGAATGTGGCATGCCAGAGAGCAGAAGGAAGGAAAGTCAGAATGGCTGGAGCTTAAGAGTGAGATGGAGGGTGACAAGAGATGGGACTGCTCAACTAGGGCCAGATCTTGGGAGGCTTTGAGATATGCATAGAGCTTGGATTTTTTTTTTTTTTTTTTTTGGAAATGCCCTGGGAAGCAAATAGAAGGTTTAAAACAGAAAAAGTGACATGATCTGATTTATGTTTTCAAATCTGAAGACTAGAACATAGAACGTAAGAGTGAAAGAAGGGAGACCAGTGAGGAGGCCATTTCAATTATTGTGTCAAGAGAATATGGTGTCTTTAACTAAAGTAGTATCAATGAAGATAGAGTGGGATGAGTTTCTAAAGTCTCTGAGCCCAACTTTCTTCTTTAAAATCTGAATAATAGTATTTGCTTCCAGTGTTTATTACAAATGTGAAATGGGACAAGGTACAAATGCACCTAGCATGGGTCTAACCTATAGAAGGTTGTCAGCATATGTTAGTGCCTTTTTCCTCTCTTGTGTTTAAAACACTGGCAAAACAGAAGTTTGTCTAAGGAGACATTAGACAACTATCTGCTATTCAAATGTATCTTTGATGGCCAAAAATATGTAACCTTTTAACCTGGAACTTGAAGAAAAATTCTGGATTTCAACCCCACTTTCACAACTGTTTCTCAAGCCACATGCCTTGAAGACTCTGAACATATTGTATAGGACTGTCTTGTTCGTGTTTAATTTTACCCCAGTCACTTCAGCCATTGTTCTGCCATAATCGACAGTGTCAGTGTTGGGTGGTGGTGGTGGTGGTGAGAATTATCAAAGATTTTAAAGAGCTAATGAAGTGACTTGAAAATAAACATTTTTTTTGTTCCAGAAACTAGAATGCAAACATAGAATCTCCCTAGCTTCTCTCCCATCTTTAACAAACAAACAAAACAGCAACAATAAAAACCAACCCAAACCTCCTCACATGTCTTTTCATGTCATTTTATATTTTGAAATAGCAGGCCAATGAGTTCTACATTGTATGTTTTAAAAGATGGTTGTCTTCTTTTGCTTATATGCAAAGATGCTAGACTAGAGATAAATACATGAAGAGAGAGCTTTGTGCCATCACTGAGGAAGCCAGATCAATTTGGACATAAGGAAGCATTTGCATGATTTTCTAGAGAATTTAGTTGGTTTCATGTTCTCAAAGAGGAAATACAGAGGACATTTCTCATCCTCTATCACACATTTCCTAGAGTCTGTCACCTTTTTTTCTTTTCATAGACAAGGGATGTTTGCTGCTAGAATCACTTAAAGCAAACAGATCACCTAAGACATGAAGCTCTGCTCTACTTCATTCTCAATCAGGGCACATTTCCAAGATCCTCAAAAACAGATGTCAAATCCTTGTACTTCCCTCTATAGTACATGTAAAGCGTGACTGAGGTAAAAAATTCTAGTCTGGCTGAATTGGTTGCCTGTGTGAACTTTTAGATTGTTTAATATGAAATGAACATTTTTCTCTGACCTTTAAATACTAATTCTGTTTCTCTTGTCAGCTATGATAGGTTCACTTTCAAGGTCTCTTGTTCACTTCTGAAGTTCAAGTTTTATCCTCAAGCTCCTGAAATATATAGTCCTATCTATAGCATTTTTTTCACTAGGAACATTTAAGCTCATAAATTATTTTTTCCTCTTTTTGGCAATCTACTAACTATTTGGCAAAGATCATTTTCCTTCCCTTATAGATGAACCAATGTTTCATTCATAAGTTTTATTCTTCACAAAATGTCTCCATTCTAATTGTTTGGAGGAATTAATTTTTTGGTACAACTTTTGTCTAGAGTGTTAAAATTAAAGAAGTTTCAGCCAGATGCCTTCTTATTTAAGACAAGGCACTTCTAAAGCACATATAGTTAGTGTATAAAACACTAGCAATTGTCCCTTATATTTAATTTAAAACATTGAAACAAAATTGATAACAAGTATCAGTGGTATAAACCCCACACTTGAGAAACACAGCTGTTTCCATTTCATGTGAGTCTTTTTTAAAGATTTTATTGGTTTGTTTGTTTATTGGGTGTGAAAGCAGGGGGAAAGGCAGAGGCAGGAGAGATAGAATCTTTTTTAAAACAATTTTTAAAATTTTTTATTAACATATAATGTATTATTAGCCCCAGGGATACAGGTCTGTGAATCATCAGGTTTACACACTTCACAGCACTCACCATAACATATACCTTCCCCAATGTCCATAACACAACCCCCCCCCCACAACAAACCTCAGTTTGTTTTGTGAGATTAAGAGAGGAGAGACAGAATCTTAAGCAGGCTCCACACCCAGCATGGAGCCCAATGAAGGGCTCCATCTCATGACCGTGAGATCATGACTTGAGCTGAAATCATGAGCCAGAAGGTTAACTGACTGAGCCACCCAGGAGCTCCATCATCTGATTCTTTTTAAGTGACCATCTAAAATAATTATTGATGCTTGCCTTGTTTCTTTGATAGTTTTAAGAAAATGAGCTCAGAAGGTAAGCAATTTACCAAGGTCTACAAAAAGCGTTTTGGCTTGTATTTCAACCTAACTGTCTTGACTCTGGGTCCCATTTTTTCCCCCTTTGCATTAATTTGTTAAATATTACTTACTGAGTGATACTATATGCTAACCAGGCTCTATGTTATACATGTGGTATCTTTGTGGGGGAGGCAGAAACACAAATGAAAAATTACAAAGCAATTACGAAAAGTTCTGTAAAATTAGTAAGAAGAAAGAGATGTCAGCTTCACTGGTGGGGGCGGGGGAAGGGCAGGGTTGCCAGGGAAACTTCCTAGAAGAGGCAATGTTTGAATTGGACTTTAAAGAATATTAAGTTTTCTCCAGAAAAAGAGAAGTAAGTGGTAGGAGAAGAGTATCCTGGGCAAAGGAAGAGCCTGTGAAAATACAATTGGGGCATGTAACAAATTTTATGAGTAGGAAATGGCTCATGGATCTGCTTCACTACAAGGAGGGTTTTATATGGCCTAGGGTCAGAGAGGTGAGGGCTGGCAGATGGAACAGCAGGAAAGGCTTATTATATGCACTATAGTGGTAATGCAGAACTCTTGATGAAAGTTTTAAGCAAAAGGTTGATGGTCTAGCTTTGTGGTTTAGAGAGAGAGAATGATGTGGAGAATGGGTCGGAAGAGGGAGAGATGGGGAGACCATAAAAGGAGCTGTTGAAGTTGTCCAGGTGAGAGGTAATGGGATCAGGACACGACAGTGGCAGAGGAGAAAGCAGAGGTCAGATTGACACCTGTAGATTTGTCTGTGAAAGCTAAGGAAGAATGAGAAGTATACAAGATGATTCTGAGATTTGAGCATTTGACTTTTGTTGGCTTTTTTCTTTTAAAGATTTTATTATTTTTTAAAGTAATCTCTATGCTCAATGTGGGGCTTGAACCCACAGTCCCAGGATCAAGAGTGGCACGTTCCACTGACTGAGTCAGCCAGGTGCCCCACTTTTGGTTGACTGTGCTTATGTGATAGGCACTGTATTTGATGCCTTATTTACCCAATTTCATTTAATCTTCCAGCATCCTATAAGTTGTATTATTAGCACCCTTTTGGGGGATGAGGCATCTAAGGAGTGGAGTGACTTGTCCAAGGTCACATAATTTGTGATTTGTTGTGGAAACTGAGCCCAGGCTTGTCTGACTCTAAAGTCTGGGTTCTAAGCACAGGTGGACAGATTAATTTAGGGAGGAAGAGAGAACATGGTGGAGGTGAAATGGTGGTGGTGTTCTTTGTTTAGAAGTAAAGAATAGGGGAACAGAGATTTGATGTGAGTACGTGGTCTTTGAGGTGACTACAGAACAGTCAGGTGATGTCTGGAATCAGCAGACAGTCTCCAGAATGAAGCATCATTATCTTTCACCTCCCAGGACACTTCATATACCTGAAAATGGCACTTATGTCATCTTTCTGTCTGCTGTTGACTGAACTCGAATGTGTGTGTGTGTGTGTGTGTGTGTGTTTTGTGAGAAGAAACATCTTCATAATTTCTTCATCCTTTTTTATTGCACTGGATTCACTTATTTAGAATGAAAGGAACAGAAAGTACTTTTGTCCTGCTGTACTTCTGTGCAAATATCTCAAAGCTTTTATGCAGCAGTCTGAGAGCTTAACAAACTTCTGAAAAGGGAAAAATTTTGCCTTGTGCTTTACAAGAAGTGAGGTGCTGGGTTTGTTTGTTTGTTTGTTTGTTTGTTTTTTCAGATGTTCACTACAGCTTTCTGGTCATTTCTGGCAATATATGTTAGAGTGTTGTCATTTTATTTTTCTGTGAGTGGCCATCACTTATATAATCAAAGGGGGATCACCGACAGTATATAAGAGAGTTTTAGTAGCTAGAAATGGCAGGGGCAACTACCCATGAGGCAACTGATAATAAATATTGCTCATCCCAGGGGCATCACTGGAACATGCTGGAAACATTCAGTATTCACAGTGCACCAGGGTGTAGGTTGCAAGGCTCACAGAACACCTGGGTAATGTTAGCATAGTCATGTAATCATGAAGCACCAGGTAATATTGCTAGCAATGGGCTGGAATGTAGATACTAAAAACTTAGGTCTGTGGAAATAGGAATAGATTCTTATTTGATAAATACATGAACTGAGCTGACTGACATGGAAACAATATGTTTTTTTCTCCCTGCTGTTTCCATTTGCAGGTTTTGGCATGGAGGCAACCTTGCTCCTGGTGGTTGGCTTTTCCCACACCAAAGGGGTGGCCATCTCCTTTCTGGTGCTTGCTGTAGGATTTAGCGGCTTTGCTATTTCAGGTGAGGTGTCCTTTCATTTTCCAAATCTTTTCTACAGATTCAGTAAGTCTTGGGATGAAGGAAGAGAAAAGGAATATTCTATCACTTTCCTTTAGTAGCCAAGCCATTCTCAGGGAACAGGCTGTGGGCTAGAGAGTTTCATCATGGGAATGATAACCCCCCTGAGCCATGGGCAGAGGCACAAGCACATGCCCCAGATGAAGTGGTCCCTTCATACTTCAAGACCAGGTCACCCCTTCTCATAGAAGCTCTTGTAAAATTTTTGATCTTCATCTCTAACTAGAGAATGGCTAATATTAGCTCAAAAGTCAGGTGATATAGTCATTTGACATCATGTTATAAAATCCAAAGGTTTTTTTTTTTTTTTTTTAGAGTGGAAAACGTCTTTAGATTTTGTCTTCTCCATGGCTTTTGGTTTCTAAAGAAGGAAATGCAGGTCTAGAGAGGGGAAGTGACTTTCCTAACAGGCGAGAGCAAGTACTAAGAATAATAATGATGCTAGTGAGAGCTAACCTTGACCAAGCGCAGATTCTGTTCCTGGGACTGTTCAAAGCCCTCTGTGAAATTCTCACACTACCCAAGGTGGCCTGAGTCTGTCTCCACATTTCACAGGAGTGAAGACCAGTCTACTTAGAGTATGTGAGAGGCCAGGGCACTGTTATATCATGTCTTTGGGCTTCAGAAGCTCCCTATGCACAACTGGACGAAAGAGTAAAATTCAGTTGTTCTCCTACTTTAAACCAGACTGTCACCCTGGCAGTGATCACCTACTGGACACTTTACACAGATGATGTGTATGTCACAACACTTTGAAGCAAGTAGGTAACATCACTAGTTTACCGAGGAGGTACCTAAAACTCAGAAAAATCAGATCTTTTTCTACTGTCATATAGTTGGTAGCAAAGGAAGAAGTAAAGTGTAGTTCTGTCTGGCTCCAAGCCTGTGCTCTTTCTGCTGTTCTAGGCTGCCTGAAAGATCAGAGTAAGCATATCCCAGAACAGAAAAATATGGAACCTTTGATAGTTTTTTAAACCATTGTAAAATAAAGCCTTGATCTTTTCAAAGTAAATAGAGCTGTTGGACAGTGAAATTGGAGGCAGGGGGGTCTATTTTAAAAGTAACATGCAGCTAAGAAATTGGGTTTGGAGGTGCATAGACCTGATTTTGAGGCCTCTCTTTACTATTTGCTATTTATAAAAGAAAAAATGCTAAGTTATTTTATAAAAGAAAAAATGCTAAGTTATTTAAATTCTCAAGCCCTGGTTTCCTCACCTAGAAATTAGAGAGGTATAATGGCAACCTCACAGGGGTTGTTGGGAGATGGCCATGAACTTGAGATAATTCATGCATTCACTTACATTTCCTATGAGCCAGGTGCTATTGGCAGCAGGAGGGAGAGTATAGCAGAAAAAAAAATCATATGGCATCCTCATAAAGTTTACATTCTGGTAGAAATAAAGCATTTGAAACCCTTAGTCCAGTGCCAGATACACAACAAAATTAACAAGTATTCACTATTGTGAATTGTGTTGTTGAGTCATTATTCATTCACTTTAGCCCAGGACTTCTCAAATTTTGATGCACATACAAACCACCCCAGGATCTTGCCAAATGCAGATTCTGATTCAGCCCAAGATTCAGCATTTCCAACAAGCTTCCCAGCACTGCTGATGCTGCTGATCTATGGTCTATACTTTGAGTAGCAGTTTCCAGTAGATGTGGAACACCTTTCTCTGATAGCCCTGTGATGCAAAAGGGATTCATATCCTGTGTCCAGAGATAATGAAATATTTAGGCTCACATTGTTCCTGGATTGGCAATTACACCATGATTGGAAGGATACAAACCCAATATACCAAAAAACAGTGCCTGCCTTTCTTTCTTTCTTTCTTTCTTTCTTTCTTTCTTTCTTTCTTTCTGACAACCCAGTGAGAAGGATATTGCTATATCCATTTTACTAGTGAGGACAGCAGAGTTTAGAAAGGTGACTTAACTTGCTCATGTAAATTGAATGGCTGGGATTGGAAAAATGGTTTACCTGACCCAGCAGTGACACTGTGGGAGGGACAAGGGCCCTGGGAACAATGATTCCTCAGCATCCTCTATCTAACCACTTTATAAGGAGTTCATAGGGATGCCAGGGATGATGGTACCATTCAGGAACTGATTATCAACAAGAGAGCTGACATAGGTGGGATTAGGAAGATACAGGAATGGGTGATCCTTATTTTGAGAAATGTCCTATGTAGAGAAGACAGACTCTCCTAGCTTGTATGCTTTTTTTTTTTTTTTTTGTATCCACTACAGTATCTCAGTTTCTCAATGATCTTTTTCTCCTAAACACCAGGGTTGTGCAGCTAGAAATCTAAATGGCTTTTCTCACATTATCTTTAGCTGAACACAGATGCCTAGGCTTTGTATCAGAATATAATACTCAACAATCATACTAATTGCTTCTTATCTCTGGGTTCTTTTCTAATAAAGTGTTTATCGCTTTCAAATCAACAGTAAGATTAATTAATCTTGCAGCTGTTTTATATTCTGATTGTCTGCCACTTTGATCTGAAAGAGAAGGTATATTTATTACAAAAAAGGTTTTCTCAAAATTCTCCCTGAATTGGAGGTAGGGAAAAACAACCAATGTGCCAGATTAGGGCAAAAAAAAATTTTTTTAAATCCTATCTTCAGGTTCTTTGCACAGAATAAAGAATTAAAAAGCAAGGCAAAGAAAAACAAAAACATGAATAAGCAAAACCTACAATCTCTTGCTGTAATTTCAATGGCTCAAATGCATAATTAATTATTTATAAAGTGCATACTATATACCAGATACTTTGCCAGTTCAGGTAAGATAGTGGTAAATAAGACAGATGGATAACCAGCCATAAAGAACGTTCATGTTGGTTTTCACTTCTATGTACCATGTCCTTAGCATACATTATTTAATTCTCATAATTTTATAAGAATGATTATGCCAGCCGATAGAGGAAGAAACAGAGGTTCAGAATGTTTAAATCCTACGTCCACGTTTGCATCTCAATCTGCAAGAGGCAGGTCTTTCTGACTCTAGAATGCTCACCTGGGCAACACTTGTAGAACCTGTTCCAAGGGCAGGTGGCCTCCTCCTTTGGAGCCTAGCCCCTTCCCCTGCCTTAGCTCTTCCCCCTTAATTCCATTCATTCATTTTTTTATTTTTTAAAGATTTTATTTATTTATTTGAAAGAGAGAGCATGAGCAGAGGGAGTGGCAGAGGGAGAGGGAGAAGCAGGCTCCCCACTGAGCAGGGAGTTTGGGCTCCATCCCAGGACCCTAGGATTCTGAGCTCAAGTCAGGTGCTTAATCGACTAAGCCACCCATTCATTCCTCTCTCTTGATAAATAGTGAGGTGTTGGCATCTTGTTGTTTTCCCATTCCCAGGAGCATTATCATCCCATAGAAGACCTCAAAGAGAGGGAGATGCTCAGCCTGGCAGCTGCAGTGGGTGGTGTCCTTGTGGTGGTAGCAGTGCTGGTTAGCAGAGCTTAGCTGCTTGCCAAGGGCTCTTGCATACATATTTCCTGAGGCTCATCTCACAGCATCTTGAGGAGTTAAGTAGTCATTTTGCCCTCATATTAGAAAGGGGAAAACAAAGCCCTAAAACTTACGTAAGTGGTGAAAATAAGATTCAAATCCAGATTTACAAACTCCAAATCAAGTATGTATGTGAGAGTCTTTTGCAAGTTACAGAGGATTCTGGCAATGTTTGTGCAAATATTTGTTATCAAAAAATGACCTTTTCCATCGTGCCATATGGCCACCAAGACAGGCTCACCTCCCGTGACCTTTTGGGAGTGAGTTAAGGACTAGGAGAGAGGGTTTTATAAGGCCAGGTTTGGTTCTAATCATACTCTGAGTAAAAGTGATCCTTTCGATTTTTTCAGTATTGCCCCAAAACACCGTTATTTTGGAGTTCCACCTAGGAGCACAGGTGTCACAATTCTCTCCATGGAGAACCCATGGGAACCATTGCTGGTCAATCACAGTTCATTTTTCTGCTACGTGCAGGCACACCTGACAATTCTCAACCCAGCTGTGTCAAGAGAGGTGTTCATTAGTCATATGGTAGAAGAAGCCAAATAGATTGGTGAGAGTTAGGAAAAGCTGTGTTGTTACCAAAATGTTCTTGACTCTGATTTTGAGATTTTGGCTTCACTATAGGTTTTAACGTCAACCACCTGGACATTGCCCCCCGCTATGCCAGCATTCTCATGGGGATCTCAAATGGAGTGGGGACCCTCTCTGGAATGGTCTGTCCCCTCATTGTTGGTGCAATGACCAAGCACAAGGTAATGGTCTCCTTTGGGACTCTGGGTTGCAGTATCAGAGGACTGAACTACTGTGCAAACTTGAGATCTCAAGGCCCTACCCCAGCCTGTAAATGTGTATGTCTTTGACCTTGGCTGAGTCATTTGAACTTTTTTCCTCCTCCTCCTTTTTTTTTTTTTTTAAATTATTGTTTATTGATGGCAAGAGGGTTGATTGAGGATTGGTTCCACATTTCCTCAAGGGGTGTGTGTTGCGGGGGGTGGGGGAGATAAATGAATATCATAGGGACTATTTAGAGACACAAAGAAGAAACTGAAGTGATCAACTCAGGATAAATAATTGACCCAAGATTGTTTTATAATTCTAAGTAATTAAACTTTATAGCCTATTCCCATCTATTACTTAGCATGTTCCAGTGTAAAGATATTAGTGTTGTTATACTTCCTTATTATGAAGAAAATGAAAATACATTAATGGCCTTTTCTAAGAACCTTCAAGGGTGGGGCGCTCAGTCATAACTGAACCTTTGTGTATTTAGAGGAGGGTGGGTAGTAGAGGAAGATCCCAGAATATCCAGAGTTCAACCAGAGGCCACATGGTTTCTTAATCCCTGTCACTGAAAAGGTTTTAGGATGCTGCTTTGCACAAATAAAAATTTTCTGATTCTATGGAGTTTTTACCTGACTTTTCTTAGTTAGATTGCCTATTACTAATATGATTTTAGAAAGTCAGCTTCTTGGAGAAAAAAATGTAGGTTAACTTTTCTTCTTCTTCTTCTTTTTTAATAGAAAAGGAAGGTGGGATTTGGGGGTTTTATAGGCAGAAGTTCTATGTTTTCCCTCTCTGTTCATGAGATTGTGGGATGGGTAACTTGACCACTAAATCTCAGATAATGACTTCACCTAACTTTAAACACAAATTCCCATTATTTTTTGATTTTACTGTATCTTACACAGATAATATGATTAAAGTAAGCTATTGACAGTCAAGAGTGTGCAATTTCATAATTCAAATATTGTTATGTATCCAACAGCAAGCAAGAGGGAGACCTCTGATATTTAAAATGGTGGGTTCCTAAAGCAAGTTTAATGTAACCTACATATGAATGGAAACCCCATTTGTATATTTAAAAGACCTGTGAAATGGTGCTGCATGTATTTTTACATATTATTTATTTTATTTATTTTAATTATTTTTTATTTTTATTTTTTTAAAAGGTTTTATTTATTTATTTGAGAGGAAGAGAGAGCATGAGAGAGAGAGAGATCATGAGCATGGGGGAGGAGTAGAAGGAGAAGCAGGCTCCCTGCTGGGCAGGGAGCCCAACAATAGACTCAATCCTAGGACCCTGGGATCATGACCTGAGCCAAAGGCAGATGCCTAACCTATTGAGCCACCCAGTCTCCCCCATATTGTTTATTTAAAAAAGTAGTTGTCTAAATTAAAAAATGCACATTCATGGTCATCTCTAATTTCTGTATTCACTGTTGTGTTAATTTTCATTTCTTAAACATGCAAATTCTCTTTGGCTCCTGGGCTGGCTTCTGCCACACACCTTCCCTAGAAGCACAGCATTGCAGTTGGTTGTGGGCAGGAGATTTTGTCCCCGTGGAAGCTTCTAGAACAAACTGTTAATCTCTATTTTTGGTTAAAACACATTAATTGTTACTATATTTCCTTGTCTAGACCCGTGAGGAATGGCAGAATGTGTTTCTTATAGCTGCTCTGGTGCACTACAGTGGTGTGATCTTCTATGGAGTCTTTGCTTCAGGGGAGAAACAGGAGTGGGCTGACCCTGAGAATCTCTCTGAGGAGAAGTGTGGGATCATTGACCAAGATGAATTAGCTGAGGAGACAGAACTCAACCATGAGAGTTTTGCAAGTCCCAAAAAGAAGATGTCTTATGGTGCCACCACCCAGAATTGTGAAGTCCAGAAGAAATGGAGAGGACAGAGGGGAGTGACCCTTGATGAAGAAGAGCTGACATCCTACCAGAGTGAAGAGAGAAACTTCTCAGATTCAGCCTAAAGTCTGAGGGGCACTTCCATCTTCTCCTTACATAGAGTCAGAAAGTATCCATACCTATTGCCTTCCCCATAGCCCAGCTTGCTAGAGGGTCAAATATGGTGATACTGGAGGTGGGAGTCGGGGGGAGGAGAGGAAATCTAATCAGCAATAGAGAAAGAAAGGAAAATATCTTGCAATGACATGTTAGGGTATGGAGCTCACTCTCAGTTGACAAAATGGGAATAAATATATAATTTTTTGGATTGGCAGTTGGCTCTTCTCAAAGAAGTGTTCTGAAAGTTCAGTTCAAAGTTCAGTTCTCAAAGTACTGAACTTATTCAGGAAGGAATGACTAGAAGAATAAGGGAGACAGTACCAAGCTGTTCAAAGAAAAACCAAAGGAACTGAGAATATTTGGCCTGGAGCAAAGAAAGCAGTAGCTGTCTCTACGTTTCTGAGGGCAGCCATGCAGAAGAGGGTTTCCTATTCCCAATAAAGGCCACTGCTCATGGAGGTCCTGCATTGTGCCAGGTGCTTTATAAACATTCTCATTTAATCCACACACTGCTATGACGTATTTCTTGCCTTCATTTTACAGCTAAGAAAGCTAAAGCAACAAGATATTGATTTACCCAAGGGCCAGGGCTGAGATTGGTGGGGTCCAAAACAGGTGGCAGTTTTGGGGAAGAACTTTTCACCTCAGTGTAGAGAAGACTTTTTTTTTTAAATAATGAAAACTGAAACTTGACAGGGTTGTCTTGGGGATAATTCCCTATTTTGGCAGACATGGGGGATGGGAAACATCTGGTTTGGTGTGAAAGCATTGCCATTGTATGAGGGGCTGGATTCAAAGATCCTGAGTTTGGAGAGAGGTTAAAACATAACAAAGAGAAGAAAGGAAAAAGAAAAGAAAAAAAAAAAAAGAAAGAAAAGGAAAAAAGCTAAATAAGATAGCCATATTTTCAGGAATCTGATGTCCAGAATGGCTGAGAGGAAGTAAGCAAAGGGTTGGCTAAATTTTGACCCTTCATGGCATCAAGAATTTAGTTAAATAAATAATGCCCCAAATTACTTATACATCTTTAAGACATTCAGTAATTTAAGAAGTAGGTTCATGTGTTTTATTAGGTAAAATTCTCTTGGAAGAGTTTTCTGTTTTAAAAAAATGTGTATCTTTAGCCATTTCTGCTAGTGATATTTGGAAGTTCGATTAAACTATGCACAACTATCGCTGAAGTATTCCTAATGATTGTATTTGGAATGTTATTGGGAAAAACCAAAATAACATAGTAGTAATTATATAGGGAAATGAAATGAAAGCATGAATGAAAGCACCTGTAACAACTAGACTTATAGCTAATCTTGAAAAATTCATCTTTGATCACATAAGGCAATAACATGGATACTCTCTGGATATATTTTAAAATCTAATGTTATTTTAAAATTTAAAGTTGGCATGTGAGGTACTGTTTGAAAATAAAATTGTTTTCTTGTTCATTGGTTTTGAAAATTTTGTTTCTACTTTCAGAAGAAAAATATAATGTCAAAGAAAAATTATAGATTTACTTGTAGTTTATTATAAAGTGTTTTTTGTAAGTTATACCATGTACATTTCTTGTTGCTAGTTGTATCAGCAGAGTTGCAAAAGGGTAATTTTGAGAGAAAAATAGAATTGTCTGACTCTCTAGTAAATAATATCCTGTATATCATTGGTATATAATTTATGTTATCTTATATCTTTAAATCTCTTTAATGAGTGAATGCATGTAAGTCCCATACAACAGTTCCTGGCATGTAGAAAGTGCTCAATAAATATTAACTATTATCATCATTATCATCCTGCAACCTTTCTGGGAACTTTTCAGTTGAAAAGAAAGCATGCCATATACTTCTCATCCATCAGCCATAGAATTTGTTGTGAAGGTTGTGTTGTTTTCTAAGTTAAAAAGAGAGAGAGAGAGAGAGAAATTTACAGTAGCTAGTGTTTTATTTTTTCTTCTGTTAATAAAGTCAAATAACTTTTAAAAAACTCATGATAATCCTTGAGGTAATAATGAAGATCTCAATACAAAGCCGTATTTGCTCCATCAATTTAGAGTCAATGTCATATGCAGAAATCCCACATTTTGAGAAATCAAAGCATTTAAGGTGCCTGTAACTTGCCCTTCTAATATTAAAAAAAGAAAAAAGAATGGAGCCCTGGATCATTGTGTTGAAAATGAAAACACATTATTTTGTTGTGATGGGTTCTGCAAAGATTGCATCGCACAGATTATTACATTCGAACACCAGACAGATGCAGTTTTCAGTCCATGTATATTTTGCTGCAGATATCCATTTGTAGGTTAACCCAGGAAACAAACTGTAAATTCAGCAGAAGGGATGGGAAAGCCTGAAGTGTTGGATTCTTGAGACAAGAAAGGTTTGACTTTTTGTAAAGAATGCAACTCTTGGAAGACTCCTAAATATGACTAAAAAAATTATTCAAGAAATCAAGACACATTTGTTATCCCTGTAGGGATGTGAAGTTTAACAGGTAAGAACTGAAATGTGCTGTTTATCTTTCACACTGCCTTCTTCTGACCCCAACACACCTGTTCTTCTGTCTCTGTTTCTTTTCTCAGCTAATCACACCACTCTTTGCTGGAGCTAGGAATCTTGGAGTCATTTTTGACTTTTAAAAAAGTAATTATTTCTCTCTCTCTTTCCCACCAAATCTATTTAATTTTATTTGCAGTCTGTGATCAATGTCTTACATTGGTTTTGGAAAAATTTCAGCTGTTTTCTCTTCTGATACTGCTTTTGCTTCACCTGTGTGCAATTTCCAAGGGTCCAGCTAAATGGATGCTGGACAGGATGTGGGACAGTCTTTCCCATATCTCTTCTATGTTTTCTATATTTTCTAGACTTTTTCCTCTTTCTGTGTCATTCTGGATATCTTCTGATTTTTTAAAGTTCTTTATTTCTCTCCTCAGCAAGGTCTAATCTGGTAAAAAGAAATCCATTGTGTTGTTCATTTTAGTTACTGTATTTTCAGTTTGAGAATTTTATTGATTCAAAGTTCTACTATGTCTTTTAAGAAATATTTCTAGTTCTCTGCTGAAATTTTCAATCCTGTATTTTATTTCCTGGAACACAGTAAGCTAATTATTTTGAAGTCTGTTCAGTGCCAATATCTGGAGACCATGTAATTCTGTTTCTATTTTCTGTGGGTTTTGCTGATTCTTGTTCAAACTATCTTATCTTGGTCTGTACTTGGTTTTCTCTGTATCCAAAATTGTATTTGAAAAATTATTTGGGGGCGCCTGGGTGGCTCAGTGGGTTAAAACCTCTGCCTTCGGCTCAGGTCATGATCCCAGAGTCCTGGGATCGAGCTCCACATCCGGCTCTCTGCTCAGCGGGGAGCCTGCTTCCTCCTCTCTCTCTCTCTGCCTGCCTCTCTGCCTACTTATGATCTCTGTCTGTCAAATAAATAAAAAATAAATTAATTAATTTAAAAAAAAAGAAAGAAAAATTATTTGTAGAGGGGCGCCTGGGTGGCTCAGTTGGTTAAGCGTCTGGCTATTGGTTTCAGCTTAGGTCATGATCTTGGGGTCATGGGATCACCTAGGGCTTCACACTCAGAGGGATGTCAGCTTGAGATTTTCTCTCCTTCTCCCTCTGCCCTTCCCCCAATCATGCTTGCTCTTGCTCCCTCTCTAAAATGAATAAATAAATAAATCTTGGGGGAAAAAAAAGAAAAATTGTTTGTAGAAATGATTTTAGGTTTAAAATAATGCCTTTTTTCCTTTCGCTGTCCAGAAAGGATTTTTGTTTGTTTTTTTCCAAGAGCCCAGAGAGTTTCCAGTTGTGAAATCTGAGATCTTCTGGGCCACCCAGATGACTCAAAGCTGGGCTACAGGCAGCGTGAAGGCTCTTTTACTCTCATTTCAACTTCATTCCTTGGTTATAGAACATCAGGGTCTCAACCCACACTGCTGTGCATTACTGTGGGTCTATACCAAGCCCTCAAACTGCTCAGCTATCAAGCACTGGCTTTGTTATAATTAACAAATGTTCCCAGGAGAAAAGTGGCCTCAAATGCCAGGCTCACTTCTCAGGATTTTTGTCTTCACCAAGATGGCCAGGTGGTAGCCAGGAAACTTTTCATTCTATGCTGACTATCCAATGTTGTTGAACAGACACTAAAAAAGACATTTTTCCCCCCCAGCTTTTCTAGTGTGAAGGTTCACCTGAACTAAGTAGCCTGTCATTAATGGACGATGAAGTCCTTTTTAATTTTATTTTCACAAATTCTCTTGGACAGATTTATCTCTCTAGAAATAGTGTGGTAATAAACCTCAAATCTCAGCGGCTTAATACAGCAAATGTTGATTTCTCTCTGATGTTGCTAATAGAGTGTGGGTGTAGTTGGGTGGCCCGGAAGCTTGTTTCAGACAGTCACTCAGGTATCTAGGATTTGTCTTTTTCTCCACTCACGTCTTACAGTTCACTATTTGGAACATATGACCTCTGTTATCACCATGCAAAGGGGAAGGAAGGCACATTGGCTATTTACTGCCTCACTTGGAAATGACACTGTCAATTCATTTCTTTTTTTTTTAAGTTTTGTATTTTATTTTATTACTTATTTTTATTAACATATAACATATTATTTGCCCCAGGGGTAGAGGTCTGTGAATCGTCAGGCATACACACTTCACAGCACTCCCCATATCACCTTCCCTCCTCAATATCCATAATCCAACCACCCTCTTCATACCCCCTCCCCCCAATAACCCCTCAGTTTGTTTTGTGAGATTAAGAGTCTCTTATGGTTTTTCTCCCTCCTGATCTCATCTTGTTTCATTTTTTCCTTCCCTACCCCTGAAACCTCCCACTCTGCCTCTCAAATTCCCCATATTAGGGAGATCATATCATAATTGTCTTTCTCTGACTGACTTATTTCGCTTAGCATAATACCCTCTAGTTCCATCCACATCATTGCAAATGGCAAGAGTTCATTCCTTTTGGTGGCTGCATAGTATTCCATTGCATATACATATACCACATCTTCTTTATTCATTCATCTGTTGATGGACATCTAGGTTTTTCTATAGTTTGACTATTGTGGACATTGCTGCTATAAACATTCAGG